CTTGAAGCTCTCACTCAAGGCCAGAGCGGCGGCGTGGGCAATATACATAACCTTAACATTTGTAGCCCCATAATATGCTGAAATAAAAAAAAAGAAGAAGAAGAAGACTGAAGCGTTAATGAGCCCATTTTGGGAGATTATAAGAAGTTTCCTTAGAGACCAATGAAATTCCAAATTAGCTTCAGGAAAATCCTGCCAACAAGAAGGAAGTGAACAGACTGGTGGAGCATATAGGCAGCAGGAGTTCAAGAAGGAAGTTTCAGCCCATGGGAAAAGCTCCCATGAGAGAGACAGGAGAAAATAGACAGAACAGAGAGGACTCTCAAAGAGCCAAGTAAATTCTACTGCTCAAGACAAAGATCCAGGAAGAACACTTCCAGCCCACAGAGTCAGGAATAATCCCCACTCAAGATAGAGAGCAAGAGCCAGGAAGAGAGACTTCTGGCCCAGCAGACAGCTTTCAAACAAAGAAGCCTAGGCCTCTACCCCAGATTCTCTTACTTGGGACTCACCTAGTCTCTTATACACAGCTGTTTATAACCTCGCATCTTGCAAACAAAGAAACTTGGGAAACTAATGCAGTTTCTTGAGTATCGTCAGAATCTTAAGCATCAAAATGTGTCCTTATCAGTTTCAATGAACTGTCATCCAGAGTAAGGACTCAGGAATCTGACTCACCAAGGGATCACTGTTCAATCAGTCCGAATCGAAGATAAAAGATTGAAAGGCACACAGGTAAGGGTGAGAGACAAGGGATGCAATGTTGAATCTGATTCTATTCAAGTCACAGACACGATAGCTATTAAAGAAAAAATTATTTCTGTTAAAGAATGGTAAAGTAGACTTTATTCAAGGGAGAATTACCATGATGGGAATAAGCACCACTGCAATGATTTTAGAACATGTACAACAGAGGATACACCATGACTAAGTAGAATTTCTCCTAGGAATGCAAGGTTTCTTCAATATATGAAAGTCAATCAATGTGATTTATTATATTAAAGGAACAAAAGACACAAACCATGTGAGAAGGGCAGGAAAAGCATTTGACAAAACCTATATCATTCATAATAAAAGAAAAAGTAATTCTGAACAAGATAGTAATAGCAGGAAGCTATCTCAACTTCATAAAAGACATATACAAAACACATACCCCTAACATTATATTTAATGGTGACAGATCGGATGCTTTTTCTTTAACATCAAAAAAAAAAAAAATTCCACTCTTTACACTTCTACTCATTGTTTTAGAGGGTCTAGAAAGGGTAATTTGGCAAGTTAAAGAAATAAAAGCTACCAATATAAGAAAGGAAGAAGTAAAACTATCTCTATTTGAAGATAACATACATTGAATATATAAAATACTGAAGAATCCAGTAAAAAAAATATATATATAGAACTAGTGAGCAAGTTCATCAATGTTTCCCAATATGAAATCAATACTGAAAAATCAATTGTATTTATAAACACCATCAATGCACAATCCAAAATAAAAGTAAGAAAACCACTTCATTTACAATAACATCAAAAAGAATAAAATACTGAGGAATAAATTTAGCAAAATAATGTGTGCTAGTTAATTTTTGGTGTCAACTTGACTGGATTAAGGAATATCTAGAAAACTGATAAAGCATTATTTCTTGATGGGTCTGTGAGGGTGTTTTCAGAGGAGATTAACATATGAGTCAATGGGCTGAATTGGGGAAGATCTACCCTCCAATGTGATTTGGTACCACCTAATTGGCTGGGGGCCCAAACAGAACATAAAGGCAGAGGAAAAGCAAATTCTATTTTTTTTTTGAGACAGAGTCTTACTCTGTTGCCCAGGCTAGACCGCTGTGGTGTCAGCCTAGCTCACAGCAACCTGAAACTCCCGGCTCTAGCAATCCTTCTGCCTCAGCCCTCTGAGTTGCTGGTACTACAGGCATGTGCCACCATGCCCAGCTAATTTTTTCTATATATTTTTAGTTGGCCAATTAATTTCTTTCTATTTTTAGTATAGACGGGGTCTTGTTCTTGCTCAGGCTGGTTTCGAACTCCTGAGCTATCTGCCCGCTTCGGCCTCCCAGAGTGCTAGGATTACAGGCGTGAGCCACTGCGCCTGGCTTAGAAAGGCAAATTCTCTTTCTCTCTCTCTCTTCCCTCGTCACTCTCTCTCTCTCTCTCTCTTTCTCTCTGTCTCTCAGAGCTGGAAAATCATTCTTCTCCATCCCTTCAATAGCAGAACTCCAGCCTCTCCTGCCTTTGGACTCAAGGACTTGCACCAGCAACCACCCCTCCCCTTTACCTTACCCCAGGTTCTCAGGCCTTTCACCTTGAACTGAGAGTTACACTACCTGCATCCCTAGATCTCCAGCTAGCAGAGGGCCTGTCATGGTACTGTGCAGCCTCCGTAATCACATGAGCCAATTCCCCTTATAAGTTCCCTCTCATATATCTTCACCTATATATTCTATTGGTTCTGTCTCTCTGGACAACTCTGCCTAATACAAAGGGCAAAACTTGTACTTAAAAGCTGAAACACATGGATCTCGGCCCAGTGGCTCATAACTATAATCTCAGTGACTTGAGAGGCTGACTCATGACAATCACTTGAGGCCAGGAGTTTGAGACCAGCCTGGGCAGCATAGCAAGACCTCATCTGTAAAATAAAGTATGTTAAAAATTAAGCAGGTGTAGTAGCATGCGCCTGTGGTCCCAGATGTTCTGGAGGCCGAGGAACGAGGGTCACTTGAGCCTAGGAATTCAAGGCTGCAGCAAGCTATGATTATGCCGCTGCACTCAGGCTGGTTGAAAGAGCAAGAACCCCTTCTCTAAAAACTAAAACAAACAAATAAACAAAAACCTGAAAAACATTATTGAAATAAATTAAGTAAAACCCAAATAAATAAAAAGATTTCCTGTGTTCTTAGACCAAAACACTTAATATTGTTAAGATGGGAATTCTTAAAAAAAAAAAAAAAGATGAGACTACTTAACTAACATTTATTAGTTCATCCACATAATCATTTAATTCATTCCTTTAACAAATATTTATTAAGCATTATTTTGTGCCAGTTATGTTGCTAGGTAGTAGGGAAACAGTAGTGAAGAAAAACAAAATAAATTCCTGCCTTCATGAAATTTATATGCTATACCAGTAAACACCATAAACAACATAAACTAATATACATAGTGTATAGCAGATTCGGGGGCAATAAAATATAAGAAGAAAAATAATACACCAAAAGGATATAGAAACTGTTAATGAGGACAGATATGGAGCCAGCGTCACAATTTAGCTAGGGTGGTTAAAGGAAACCCTACTGAGCAGTTGACATTTGAACAAAGATTTGAGAGAACAGGAATTAATCATGAGGTATCTTGAGGAATTGTATCATAAAAGAAGAAAGAAAACATAAAAATCCCATACCGCATTTCTGGTCTTTCCTATAATTACTGAATAAGGTGAAGCTACACACCATGATATGATAAGAAACATGCCCTTCATTGGGGGATGGGAGGAGGAATCATCCAAGTTGTTAAACAACACATTGAGATGGCCAACCATGAGATACCGCACCCGTATTACAACCATAAGTGTGCCTCCCCAAGGGAAAACATCCTCCACAGTGTGCTTGGCAGAGAGATGGCTGCCCAGCATTTCCTGAAGTAGTTAAAGAGGTAGAGAATTCTTTACCTGCTATCAAAACAAGAAAAAAAAAAAAACATTATCTGCATTTAGACGACTCTAATAGCTTAAAGGTTCTTCTTCAAAATGACTCACATTATAACATGCACTCACTCGGTGGGTCTCTGCAATTTGGAGCAACTCTGAACAAGTCTGTTCTTTCCTTCACAGGAGTGTCCAACAGGCAATAGCAGACATTGGAATTACCAAGAGGAGGTAGCAAGTGTCCATCACATAAATGGAGCAGGGCACATGAAAATCCTAAGAGAGTGATCTGCAAACTCAAGAATACAGTTTCCTTGGATACCCTCATCTCTGCATGATGGACAGAGCTGCCATCAGAAAGTAAGGGGTAGTAATGAGTATGAATTAACAGAAGAAACTGTATATTTCTTTTTAAATTATTGTATCTCAAAGCAAAATATGGTACAAACGAAACACATTCTGAGGACAAAAGAAAAATATAGAAAGCTTCCAGTTCAGACAGTACAAAGTAGAATTGTTTTTTTCTGCTTCCTGCTAAATACAATTATAAACCCTGGAAATAAAAGAGGACACAACCATGCTGGGGGCAGAGGCTCATGCATGTAATCCAGCACTCTGGGTGGCTGAGGCGAGAGGATCGCTTAATGTCAGGAGTTAGAGACCAGTTGAGCAAGAGGGAGACCCCAATTCACTACAAATAGAAAAAATCAGCCAGGTATGGTGACACTTGCCTGTATTTCCAGCCACTGGGGAAACTGAGGCAAGAGGATTGCTTGCGTCCAGTTGTTTCATGTTGAATTCATCCTTTTATCATTATATAATGACCATCTTTGTCTTTTTTCCTTTACTGTTGTTGATTTAATGCCTACCTTATTTTATGTAAAAATAGCTACTCCTGATTCCTTTTAGTTTCCATTATTATGGAAATTTCCCCTCCTCCCCTCACAGTGAGTCTATGAGACTCTTTATGAGTTAAGTGAATTTTTCAGAGACAGGAGATATAGTGTGGTTGTTGTTTTTTTTTTTTTATCTGTTCCACCAATATATGTCTTTTAAGTGTGGTATTTAGGCCATTTACATTCAATGTTAATATTGATAAGTGAGACTCTGTTCTAGTCATCATGTTGATTGTTACCTTGTTGCCTTGAATTCTCCCTTGTGTTACTATTTTATAATAGCTGTTAATTTTTACTTTCAAGTGTTTTTACCCTGATAAGTATTGACTATTCTTTTTGGTGTTTAGAGCACTTTTGAGGATTTCTTGTAAGGCAGGTCTAGTGGGAAAAAATTCCCTTAGTGTTTGCTTTTCTGAGAAAGATTTTATTTCTCCTTCATTTATAAAACTTTGTGTTGCAGGGCACAACATTCTGGGCTGAGAGTTAATCTCCTTAAGAAGACTAAAAATTGGATCCCAATCCCATCTAGCTTGTAAGTTTTCTACTGAGAAGTCTGCTTTTAGTCTGGTGGGTTTTCCTGGGTAAGTTACTTAATGCTTTCATCTGGCAGCCAGAAGTATTTTCTCCTTCACTTTGTCTTTGGCCAGATAGATGAGTATATGATTTGGCAATGTCATATTTGCAATGAATCTTCCAGTAGTCTTATAACCTTCTTTTATCTGGATGTCTGAATCTCTAGGATGATGAGGGAAGTTTTTCTCCATTATTACCTTAAATAATTCTAGCATGATTTTTGCTTTTTCTTATTCTCTGTCATGGATATTGATGGTTCTTATGTTTGGACATTCTACGTAATCTCATATTTGTCAGAGATGGTTCATTTCTCTTCATTCTCTTTCTTTATTTTCTCTAATGAGGTTAATTCAAAAGTCTTGTCTTCAAGCTCTGAAATTCTTTCTTGTGCTTATTCTAGTCTGTTGTTAAAACTTTTCACTGTCTTTTGAAGTTCCCTAATTGACTCTTTCATTTCCAGAAGTTCTGTTGTTTTTTAAGAGTATCTATCTATTTACTGAATTTTTTATTCATGTCCTGAATTATTTTTTTTATTTCTTTTTGTTGGTTTTCAACTTTCTCATCAATCCCATTGAGCATACTTGTGATCCATATTTTAAATTCTATATCTGACATTTCAAAAATTTCCTTTTGGTTGGAATTCATTGCAGGAAACCTAGCGTGCTCCTTTTGGGTTGTCAAAATTTTCTGTTTTTACATACTGCCAGAATTCTTATCTTGGTTCTTTCTCATCTGGAACCCCTTTCCTCAGCTCAAAACAGGTGGTTTTTGTAGTCCACCTGTCTTCCTCTTCCAGGAACTCTGCTGCTCAGTGTAGAGAGGGAGAGGTACACTGCCTTTATGCTCATGCAGGTAGGGGGCCCCTGTAGTGTTGCTGGCAATTGGAGTCAATTGGACCTCAGACTCCTGGGAGTGTGTTCGGGCCCTAGAAGTGGTGGACTAGGCTAGACATTCCTTGGTTCCCAGGCCCTTGGATGGCATAATTCAGTTGTGGGGAGAACAAACTGAGACTGGACTAGCAAACTTGCTTTCAAACTTCTCTGAGTTCAGGCGGTTGCTATGATAACGAGAGTTGGGGCGATCTCCTGCTTGGAAGAATGCTGCGGCGGGAGAAGACAGGATGTGCTGTGAGCCTGCAGCAGGAGAGGTGGGCTCCTCTTAAGAGTAGCAGAGGTAGGCAGCTGTAGGTTGCATATACTGCTCACATCTCCCTCTCAGCATGACAGTCATCTCTGTCCTTTGGAGACACAAAAGCGCCCACTTTCCCAGCTCCCAGCCTGGCCCAGCTTCAGCAATGGTGGTGGAGGCAACCCAACCCACTATGTGCAGGGCCACCAGACTGGCTGTGGGCTGTGGCTGGAATCTTCCCGTGGAGGAGGTGTGGTTGTGCCAAGGACTTGCCTCCAGGATGGGTAGGCTCCTTCCAGAAGAGACAGGAAGCTCAAAGAGAGGGCTGCTAGTCCTACCCTCCCTTAGTAGAGATGATAGTTTTTGTTTGGAGTACACAAACGCACTTGCCATGGCTTTATAGAGGGAAAGGAGTGGTCCCCAAGCTATGTCAAAGCCTGTGTGTGATAGGTGCACTGCCAGAGGTGGGACAGCTGCTCCCAAGTGTCCTGGCTTAATTGTCCCCTATGGAACTCTCACTAGTCCTGAGCAGAAACATATGGAGCTGCCTTGACAACAGTGGATGGAAAAGGGGAGGAAGAGAAGAAGTCCTCAAATGGTGGGGAGCTGGTGTCCTGGTCCCCTTTATACTAAGGGTCCACTAGCATGTGGCACTTTCCTTTCAGCTGTAAGCAGCCTGGCCAGGATTCAGAAGTTCCTCAGTTCCCCGGGACCCACCAGTCCCCCAAGGCTACTGTGGTCCAAATCAATACTGGGGAGCATGTGGCTATGGATCCAGTGATAGAGACCCAGGGGCTGCATAAATGCTGCCTGTCCATGAAGGGGAGGAAATGAGCTGTGCCCTCCACTCAGAACCCAGGTGAGGTTGGCAGAGTACTACTGATGGTGTATTCCCCCTGCAAGTGTAGAATTGGCTATCCCACAGCACACTCATGCTAAAATCTCATGCTTGTAAGCAGAGGCAGCTATGTCTGCAGCATGGGGTTTGTGAAGGAGGGGAGGTTCTATCTTCATATTCCTTCCCAGGCTCTGGTGCTGCTTCTGCTCTGGGGTGGGGACACTCTTATATCCTACAGACTCCTCGCTATATTCATGTCTCCACTGGGAGGGGTGTAGACAACTTTGGATCATGAGCCAAGGACTCTCAGGTGCAAGATAGTGCCCTAAAAAGTGTTAGTGGCCCTTCCAGTTTGCCAATGGTAGTAGTGCCTGGATTCGCTAGGGTAGAAGGGTTTCGCCAACAGATCTGGAGCTGGCAGAATGCCACAGGTGTGAGGGGAGTAAAAGTAAATGCTTCCATTTTTCTTCTCCATGTGACTCTGAATCCATCAAGGGTTGGTCTCTGCCAAAATCTTGCTCCTTCTTTTACTGCTCTGCAACTTCTTCCCGTGGCATCTCTGGGTTCATTAGTTCTGGCACCTTTCCCTCAGTATGTCACCTTGGCTATGCTTTTTCACCAGAAACTTCTTCTTTTGGGGATGATCTCACAACCAATGTCTCTAGTTGGCCATCTTATCGTCTCCCCTAGCAATACTTAATTTTCAAGAGCTTAAAGGGGTTTTTTTTGTTTTTCTGTTAGTGATTTCTACTTTGATTCCATTATGGTCAGAGGAGATTCTATATAGGATATGAATTCTCTTAAATGTATTGAGGTTTGTTTTTAGGCCCAGAATATGATCTATGCCTGTGAATATGCTATGGGCACTTGAATAAATGTGCATTCTGCTATTGTTGAGTGGAGTATCTATGTTTGCCAATCAGATTCTGGGGATTAATTGTGTTGTTTATATTTTTTTAAGATCTATGTTACTATATCAGTTGTTGAGAATGGGCTTTTGAAGTTTTTTTCTATGACTATGGATTTGTCTATCTCTCTTTTTGTCTCTATCACTTTTTGTTTGACATATTTCGAGGCTCTCTTTTTTGGTGTGTACACATTTAAGATTATCGAGATTTCCTGCTGGATTGATAATTTTAACCAGTATGTAATATCCTTCTATGTCTTTAGTAATTTTCTCTGCTATAATGTCTTCTTCATCTGTTATTAATTAGCCCCTCCTACTTTTTTGCTCACTGTTTGAATAGTATATCTTTTTCTACATTTTTACTTGAAACCTATGCTGTTGCATTTAACGTGAGTTTCTTTTAAACAGCATATATTTGTTATACTTTTTTTAATCCCTCCTGACTATCTCTGCCTTTTAATTGTTATATTTGAGCCATTTACATTTAAGATAACTACTGATTTTACTATCGTTTCATTATTTGTTTTGTGTTTTTTCTCTCAGTTTCTTGTTCCTTTGTTTATTGCCTCTTGCTTTCCTGTAGATTATTTGAATATATTTTAAAATTCCATATGTACTTATTTATTGTGGCTTCCACTATATCTCTCTGCACAATTTTCTTAGTGGTTGCTCTGGATATTATAATATACATATGTGACTTATCACAGTCTAATAGTATCAACACTTTAGCACTTTGAGTGAAGTGTGGAAATTTTACTTCCATTTAGTTTTCTTTACCACATTTCTTGAGGATCAGATGGTGTTATAATTTTTGTTTCAATTATCTGATTTATAAAACTCATGCAGAGAAGGATAGTATGTACCCACATTTCTATTCTTTCTATTGTTCTGTCTTCCTTATTGATCCTCTAAGATTCTTTTTTAATCAATATTTTTTTGTTTGAGGAACTTCCTTTTGTCATTCCTTAAGGATAGATAGGTCTGTTAGTGACAATTTTCTTACTTTTATTTTTATGTGTTCATGTGTTCATTTCCCTTTCATTCCTGAAAAACTGTTTTGCTGGCTATAGGGTTTACAACTGATGGTTCTTTTCTTTTAGCACTTGAAAAATATTGTGTTTTTTTTCTGACCTTCAAAGTTTAGTTTCAGATAAGAAATGAGACATTCAATGATATGTTCAGCATTCCATTGTAGGTAATCTGTCATTTCTCCCTAGGTGCTTTCAATTTTTTTCTTTGCCTCTAGTTTGCAAAATTTTAATTATAATGTGCCTTGACATACTTTTTTTTTTTTTTAGATTTGTCCTATTTAGCTTAGCTTCTCAAATCTTTAGGTTTATGTCTTTTCCCAATTCAGGAATTTTTAAATCTTTAGATTTTTGAATATGCTTTAAGATTCACTCTCTTTTCCTTCTTCTTAAACTTAAATGATATAAATATTGGATCTTTAGTTATAGCTCCACATGCCCCAGATGCTTGGTTCTTTTTCATTCAGTCTATGTTCTACTTGTATTTTAGAATGAATAAATTCTATTTATCTGTCCTGAAGTTTCCTGATTCTATTCTCTGTCATCTTCCTTCTACTATTGAGCCCACCCATTGACTTTTTCATTTCTGTTTTTATATTTTTGGTTTTATAATTTTAATTTAATTTCTTTTATTACCTTCTCTATTTTTTATCATTTGTGTCAAGACAGATTTTTTCCTATTTCACTATCTTTTTATTTCATAAATATATTATCTTTTTTCCAGAAATATTACCATTTTAAAAGATTAACATGATAATCTAGCAACTAGAGGTGATACAGCCCTTAGTATACAGAAATCGATTTTGAGTTTCAAATGTCTCCACTTGCCAGACTTCTCATGTAAAACTCTCACTACAGTTCATGTTCTGGGGGCCTTGTGAAACGCTATAGTAGGTTGAATGGTGTTCCCCAAAAAGGTATATCCATGTTCTAATTGCCAGAACCTGTCAATGGTACCTTTATCTGGAAAAAGGGTCTTTGCAGATGTAAGTAAGTGAAAGGTCTTGGGATGAGGAAATCACCCTGGACTACCTGAGTGGGTCCTAAGTCCAGTGAGA